TTTATGTATTTGCTTTCATAATCTCCATGTCCACATAAAATTGAATTTTATGAGTTGTTATGATCTCCAACTTTTTCTATAGGGAAAGTGGTGGGATGATATTTCATGAGAAAGACACATTAACTTTGAGTTTGTTTTATGTTTTACAATCGGTGTTTGGTAATTGCTAACAAATGATTGTTAATATTTGTGATGGTGCTTTATTATATTGTCTTCAAGATCAGAACGAACTTGAGCAATAATGCAATATGATTCTTCGTAGGGAAAATTACATTCGTAGTTAAGGATCATTCTATGTCTTGATTATGATTTCATGATGATATGATTCTTCGTAAGGAAAATCACATTCGTTTTCAAGTTAAAAATCATCCTATGTCTTGATTATGATTTCGTGATGAAAATCTTAATTCTTTGTAGAGAAAATCACATTCGTTTTCAAGTTAAGGATCATTCTATGTCTTGATTATGATTTCGTGCCAAGAAATTCAACTTTGGGGTATAGGGCATACTTTATTAGCACTAATCTATGCCTTTCACCTCACTCTAATTCTAATTCCTTAATCATGTTTGACCAAATGAGTTGAATTGAATCTCTATTAATACTGCATGAAATACTAGTGATTAGGAAATTAATTGAGTTTAATAATTAATTAATCAACTAATTAATTATATATTTGGAATTTGACTGGAATTTATATTTCTCTCTCACATCACATCTACAGGATGCATTGTTGGCTTAACGCTGTTTATCTAGAAATTAGTAAAGTCAAATGTATGACTAATTCAAACTTACAAAAGTGGGGTCCATTTTATGATTTGGCCATATTTTTTGACGTTAATAATTAAGTTGTTGATAAGAAAAAAGTTGTCTTTATTATAAAGTCAGAGGTTGAGTTTAAAGGATCAAAAACCTGATTGATTACGGTAAAGTGATAAGTACTATTTCATTTTTTTAAAATGAAATTTCAAGCGCAAATGAATTAATCAGGTCTAAATCGAATAACATATCATTCAATGCATCTTTTTTATGTTTATACATATAATTTATTTTTTTGAAGTTTATTTATGAAATTACACTAAATATGTCGTGGCGTTATCGTTGTTGTTGTTGTGGGTGTGAAACCAAGAACACAAAAGTATTTAGAGGATTATGTGGTTTTGAGGACAAAGAAAAAGACAAAGAATGAATATATACAAACATTTCAATTGCGCGTTCTTTTTTTCTATTGGGTAGAATTTAAGTGATGAAGATGAGTGTCACATAATTACTCAATATATCCAAATACTATTATCTCATTATTATTATTGGACCTTCTAGGTCTTCCAATGCACTTTTCTACTTTAATGCAATTTTTATTTTATTTTTGGTTTGGCCTTTATCTGATGTTCGATATTTTATTTAGGATTCGATTCATTCAGGTTTGTATTCGTAATATAAGTTTTATTCGAAGAAGTAAAACTAATCGAGAATGGAAGACTACTTATTATTTTGACTTTCGTAGGGGATTAGTTTGAGCTATATATCAAACTAGATTTTAGGTAGATTGAATTGAACGAGTCAGTAATATAGGTCAAGCTAATAATAAAAGGCTAATGTTATGCATGTTTAAACTTGGATGGATTGGACGAGTCATGCTTTTATGAGTTAATTTTTTCTATTCAATTTTTTTTCTAATATTGTCTAGATAAAGAAGGTTTGAAAATTCAATAATTATGAACCAAGAACTTCTAGATGTTGCAATTAAGAAAATTCCTCGGATTTTAAGTGTTAGTATACTATTGTTTTCCTCTTTCAAGTTTCAATTATTAATTATTATTTTAAAGTTCAAGATACAATTGATTTTTTTTCATTTTATTCTTAGTCGTAATTGCTCTTGAAAACTATAAAACCTTAATCATGATGATATAAGCATATAAACCAAACAAATCAATGAAGAAAATTATGTTTTTATTAAGACATAAAAGCTTGATAAAGGGGGGCTTTTGTTCACTAAAAGTAATATAAACCGTGTTAGATAGTCAGCCATCACATGACTCTCAAATTCAACTTGTGGTGGATCTCGGGAGACAAAGTGAAAATGTAATATCTTTGGTCCCATACTTTGAAATGCTCCTCCTTGTGAATTGATTGTTCCCCCAAACCTACGCAGGTGAACAACTAGAGTGTATTAGGACACTTGAGAGAATTATGTCAGAGGAACTCAACAAAATGACTCAGTAACTTTGGGAGAAAGATTGTTCTCTTATCTTTTGAATAGGAAACACATATCATGGTGGAGACTGTTTATTAAAAACACAACAATAGTAAAATAATATTTAAAAAATCTTTTAATTTATAATTTCTAAAAAACATATTAAAGAAAAATACAACTGATAATTTGAAACGAAGAAAGTATAGCAATAGTTTTGCAGCCCATCTTGTCTAGTGAGTCAATCCTTTTTTTTTTCAATTTATATAATGCAATGTCTCCACCAAATGGCCTCTAAGAGACTCAAGTTTGACTATATTGTTATGAGTTTGGATTTCAGTGGCTTTTTGACTGACTGTTGTCAAGTTGATTATTCTTACTCTCCAATTTAGTTTGTAAAAAAAAAAAAGTAATAAAAAATCATTCAATTATGAGATTTGTAAACATTGCATACTAATAAACCTCAATTGGAATTTGGGAAGACCATTCCAAGAGAAAAAAAGAAGAAAGAAAAGTAAGAGCTAGGACTGAATATTTGTTAGAGATTGCTTTATATACCTCAGTATGTTATGACTTATAATTAGAGTTTTTAGTTTTCGAGCTCTTGAAGTGAAAAATTCTTTTGCCGATTTGCCCTTCAAATGGGTTGGTCTTTAAGTTTTGTTCTTAACAATCGAACTTATGTCTAACGGGGCATAAGTTCTTTAAGGATGCGGAACATAACTTATGAGATATTATAATGCGGAAATATAAACGCCTTTGAAGAGCAGAAATTAAATACCAGTACAAAATATGGCTAAATGTGCAAATAACCCAACACATATAAGTTCTTGGGCCAGGACTTCTATACTGGACCATCCATTGCACTGGGCTTACGTGACAACTCATGATTTAGCCCAACAAAACATCTGCCAACTGCGGGAAATTATTCTGAGCTTAAAAGTGGGTGGTCTCAAACTTTTGACCTTACATGATCTATGGGGAAACCTACACGGTCAAATAAAAGTCAAACTTGGAAGTATTATCTACCAAACAAACGTGATCAATAGTTCAAGACCAGTCATCTCTATTGTTGTTCTCGATCTAGGATATAGAATCTCCAAAATGTATATACAAGTAGCCCTTCGTTGCCCTCGATTTATTTATTATTATATGTGGAAAAGAGAAAAGAATATAGGAATTAGACAACAAATAATGGAAACGCATATAGAATAAAGTCAGAAATATTTCAAATTATGCAAGTAGCACATATTTCCTACTTATATAATATTCAAATATACTCTAGCTACTAGAGAAAGAAAGAAAAAAAATACTACCAAGCTTTCTCGTTGGTTATTGAGTGACTGTCTCCATTATGATGTTGCTAGTAAACAACACTATATTTACACCCAACAAATTTGTGATTGAAGATGGTAAATCTAACATTTCGAAGTTTCACATAGTTAGCAACAAAAATAATTGACCAAGTCCGATTCCGAAAGAATTAACAAAAGCCATAAATTATGATTCACACAACATATTCCAACATGTTTGCGATTGAGACGTAGTTGAATTATCAAATCCTAGGCCACATGTTCACTTGTCTAGAGTTTTCTTCCAGTTACTATAGTTCCAAATATGTAGAATTGTCTAAGTTCAGAAAATAGAACAATAAACAGATAACTCAATTATCACAAGGACATGAAACATAACTTGTGAGATATTATGATGCGAATATATAAACTTAGCTCCACGAGAAAGTATTTGTCTCGAGGAGCAAAAATCAAATACCAAACACAAAATAGAAGCAAAAGTGCAAATTGCCCAAGGTAATTTTTATCTTGGGCCAGGACTTTCATACTGGACCATCCATTGCAATGGGCTTATGTGACAACTCTTGCTTTAGCCCAACATGTCCAAATTAGACCCAATGACTTTGAAAATTGGCGGTATTGAACTTTTGACCTCACTTGCCTCATGTAAGAACCTTCGCGGTCAAATTAAAAGTCAAAACTTGAAGTATTATCTATGGGACTACCGCGATCAGAAGTTCAAGACCATCCATCTCCAAGACACTCTTGTTGTTATCAATCTAGAGTATATAATCACCAAAATGTATATGCAAGTAGCCCTTCATTGCCCTCTGTTTATTTATTATATGTGGAAAAGAGAAAAGAATATAGGAATTAGACAACAAATAATGGAAACGCATATAGAATAAAGTCGAATTGAGAAGTATTTCAAATTTTGCAAGTAGCACATATTTCATACCTATATAATATTCAAATATACTCTCGCTATTAGAGAGAAAAAAATACTACCAAGCTTTCTCATTTTGTTATTGAGTGACTGTCTCTGTTATGTTGTTGCTAGTAAACAACACTATTTACACCCAACAAGTTTGTGCATTTACAATTCGTACGTACAATACATAGTAAATCTAACATTTCTTAATTTCACATAGTTAGCAACAAAAATAATTGACCAAGTCTGATTCCAAAAGAATTAACAAAAGCCATAAATTAAGATTCACGTAACAGACTCCAACATGTTTGGGATTGAGACGTAGTTGAATTATCAAATACTAGGCCACATGTTCATTTGTCTAGAGTTTTCTTCCAACTACTATAGTTCCAAATATGTAGAATTGTCCAAGTTCAGAAAATAGAACAATAAACAGATAACTCAATTATCACAAGGAATAGAATAAAGGCTCACTCAAAAAGCTTTACCTGACAAAAAAAATATTCAAAAATGATAAGAGCTAGTGATGTGAGGTGTTAAAAGAGAAGAGTTTTCACTACCAAAACTAGTATAAATAGATGTCATATGAATGGCTATATCAAGTAAGAGAGCCATAAGAAACTAGAACTCAAAAATACCAAGAGTCGTTTTCTGTTCAGTTTCTGACGAATATCAATGGCGTCACTTCAGTGCCAAAAGCCAGTTGCACAACAAACTGTCTGCCAAAAAACCACCAACACTGCCACTTGCCACAAGGCGAATGAGCACCACTCTTTGGCTGACAAAATGAAAGAGATGACAACCAAGATGTTGCACCACGACAACCATGGACAGCAATCTGCCTGCCATGGCGCCAAAACTCAACATTCAGCAGGCCATGGATCCACTGCTATCCACGGAAATCATGGTAGCCACGGCCAGCAGACTGCATGCCATGGCGCAAAAACTCAACATTCAGCAGGCCATGGCTCCACTGCTATGCATGGAAATCATGCTAAGGGACAGAACACTGCATGCCATGATGCTAAAACTCAACATTCAGCAGGCCATGGCTCCACTGTTGGGCATGGAAATCATGCTAAGGGCCAGAACACTGCATGCCATGGCACCAAAACTCAACATTCAGCAAGCCATGGATCCACTGCTACTAATGGAAATCATGCTAAGGGCCAGATCACTGCATGCCATGGCGCCAAAACTCAACATTCAACAGGCCATGGCTCCACTGCTATGCACGGAAGTCATGGTAGCCACAACCAGCAGACTGTGTGCCATGGCTCGAAGAAGGAAGGGGGCATCATGCATAAGATAGGTAGTCAGCTGAAGACCATCAGGAAAAAGAAGAACAAAGATGGACACTGCAGAGATGGCAGTGACAGCAGTGACAGCAGCGACAGCAGCAGCAGCAGTGATGATGAGAGCGACAATGAGAACGGTGGAAGGAAGAAGGTATCATCTAAATATAACCTATTGTCTATTATTGCTTCTGTATAATCTGATGGGCACTGACAATAGAGAAGAAAAAAAAATAGATTTCAATGTTAAATGCTCCCTCCGTTTTTATTTGTTTGTCTGGTTTTGACTTGACATAGAGTTTAAGAAAATAATGAAGACTTTTGAATCTTGAGGTCTTAAGCTAAAGATATGTTGAATGTAACAAAATGCCCTTTAATCTTGTGGTCTTAAATATGTTATGTGGAAAGTTAGAATTATAGAGACATTCTTTTTGAAACGGACTAAAAAGTAAAATAAGACAAACAAATTGAAACAGAGGGAGTATTTCACAAAATTGATCCAAAACCTGGACATCCACAAACTGTGAAAGGGAACAGAACTTGAATTAGTTAGTGTAACCCTTCACAATACTCAGTTTCATAAAGATAGCGAACTTTACTAGCTACCCAATTTACCTTGAAGCCTAAATTGTAATTTTGCTTTTGCAGAAGGAGAGCTGCTGAAGAAGTAAGCTGCAACAATCAAGTGAGTAAGAGACAGAAGCTATAACACTAATAAACTTCTGTTGCTCAATAATTATGTACTTTAATTAAAGGGTGCTATGTGTGTGTCTCTCTGAAGGAGTCAGGTGTGCTGCATGAATAAATGCAAATACTTCTATTGTACCTATTACCTATGGCCTTTCAAGTAATGAAATAAACTTGTGAGATCAGTATTTTCTCTTCTGGTTTTTTTGGTGGGGGTGGGGGTAAAGTAATCAATATTGCCTCAGGGTGGAAAATAAAATGAGCAAAGACATATTTGCACATAATATCATGGAATCAGTATGAATCGATAATCAGAGAGCAAGGACAGAGGAAAGAAAGAGCCAATTATAATGGAATGATCATTTTCTCCAGCATTTGGAGACAATTTTCCAGTAATAGCACATCAGGATTTCAAAGCTGATGAATATAATTTTTGAAGGAGTTGTTAGTGACTAAGCAAGTTTGTCTTCTTTCTACCATTCAAATGAGATAATAACTAAGAAGAATGCTCAAAACATCCTGGGAACTCCAGAAACCAATAAGAAATAAGTTAAATGCAAAATGAAAATAAAAGAAAGGCTTAAACTGTTCAGGCTGTTTTGCCTTGAGCCGAGGGTCTATCGGAAACAGCCTCTACCCTCAAAGTACGGGTAAGGTCTGCGTACACTCTACCCTCCCCAAACCCCACTTTGTGGGATTACACTGGGTATGTTGTTGTTTGCTTAAACTATTCAGACTACTCATGATTGTATAAGTAAAAGAAAGAGTATATTCTATCAGATATTTGAAGGCTTTGATCCTATTACATTTTTAGAGGAATAAAAGCAGCAACCAGATGATCATTAAGTCCAAAAGAAAAATGCAATGAGATACACAAAAGAGACGGATGCACCATCCAGACCCAGGGACAGACGTATAAGCTTTAAGAATGGGTTCAATTGAACCCACCATTCTTGACTAAGACCATATAAATATGTGCATCTGTGAAAAAAACTTGAAAAAGTAGCATAAATATTAAGTTCTAAACTCATGTTTTTGAAAGAGTTTTGAACCCATTAAGTTTAATTCTTAATTTGCCTCTGTCGGGTCCAGCCTAACCAATGAAGAGAAAGTATGTTGAAACTAATCAAATTCTGGCCGATATATGAAGGCCTAGTGGACTATGCATATTTAGCAACAAAATAAGCAATGCCTATGTTCATAAAGCCCAAACCGAAAGAGATGGAGTGCAGAGATAGAGAGAATAAGAATCTAGTACATAACATAGAAAACCTTTACTGGAGCCTAGGAGTATAACAACGACAACTGCTAATACGCCTCAATTCCAAGAAAGTTGGGGTCAGCTATATGAATCCTCACTTACCGCTTTACTTCATTTAAATCAACTCATGCCAATACTACACAAATACAAGTGAAAAGCATTACAAGTTGTGTGTGCTTTTTGAATTAAAGGTATAGATCTCTGAAAGGTTAAACCACTCCTAGCAAGCATAAGACCTAGAACAGAAGTGCAAACATGAAAAACATATTCTCAACTATACTATAATACCAGTATTGCCCATCTTTTACTAAGTCTACATGAATCCCAAATACTGAAGGTCCTTGAGACAACTTCGTTTTATGTGATTTTAAGGCTACCTCATCCTTCTTTAAGACCTTCAAGTTTCATCCAATGGTTTCACACCTGCGCATAGCACCGGACATGATCAAACCATCTCAAGTGACCTTCTCTCATTTTATCCTCGATGTGTGCTACTTGAACCTTTTTTGTGAAGGTGATCATTTCTAGCCATAGTTCAAACCTAAAAGATGTCGACTACCCTCCGCAACTCTCAGCTAGTGACTTTCAATTGAGAACACCAGAGAATATTCACTATTTACAAAAGAGATTAATGATTAATAAATTTTTCATGCTTTCTATCGAAATAATATATTGAATCTTGATTCGCCTTCATCTATTAGTCGAGATGAAAATAAGTTTCAGCACTGCTTCTCTCAAAATTTACACTTCGATCCTTCTAAAGGAAATCATTAAATTACTAGGGCATCAAATTTTCAACATTTAAATAGCAAAATAATTCCACCATTTCCATTTTCTTTTTGGGTCTGTTTTGTTATTGAAGTCTCTTAAGTCTGAACAGAACAATTTCTACTTGTATTTTTTCAAATTAAACAGGAGGAAGAAAAGATAGGGGAATCTCAAAAGGATGGCAACCAGTCTTATTCTTTCTGGAATTTTCGTAAAAGCCAAAAGGTCAGTTCATCGTCTACATTACCTCTTCTTCGTGAAGCACAATATATGTGTGGTGGATGCGGTCAAAAGCTCAGCTGAAGGATTTGGAATATTTTTGTATTTCGATAACCAACACGTTTAATATTTCAAAGAAGGATTTGGAATATAAACATAAGAAAAATAAATTGGCTAGGAAATAGAATGAGATGCTCTTCAAAGTTTAGCCTTTGGCAGAAAAGGAGATTCAAAGATGACAGGACAACTGATGAAAAATAAGAAAAGAATCCCACCACTAATTCATGTTGCTATTGCGTACATGTATATATGTGTATATATATATATATGTATATATATTAATCATTCTGTGAATATCAAGCAAAAAGAAGGCAATAGTCCAGAAGACAATATCTCTAGTTTCAATTCAATCACTCATGGCATCCGTTCAATGTAACAAGCCCACTGAGCAAAACATTAATCATGTTCAATCCTCCACCGTGAGCAACAAGACTAGCACTACAACTAGCCAAAAGGCTGTTGGCAACAAGACCAACACTCCAATGAGTCAAAAGGCTGTTTGCAACAAGACCAGCACTCCGACTAGCCAAAAAACTGTGTCCAACAAGAATAGCACCCCGACAGTCCAAAAGACAAACAATGAGAACCACTCTTTCACTGAAAAAATGAGAGAAATGTCACACAAAATGTTTCACCGTGAACATCATACTCAACAGGGCCAGAAAGCACACATCCAAAAAGGAGGTCAGCCTGTCTGCCATGCGTCCTGTGCAACTCATGGCACTCATGCTAACCATACTACAACTAATGGAAAGAAAAAGATGGAAGGCCACTGCATGCCTATGAGGAAGAACAAACAAGAAAAATACAAGTTCAGTGACAGCAGCAGCAGCAGTGATGACAGCGATAATGAAAAGTGTGGAAGGAAGAAGGTATGATCTGCAATCTTTTATGAATCATTCAGAAGACAATTGTGTTAATAGCCCTTTATCTTCATATAAGCCTAGTAGGACACTTCACTTGCAATTATGATCATGACTACAAAGTTTTTTCTGAAGTAGCATGTCTTGAAATTTATAAATAAATGTTTTCCTACATTTAAGCCCATAACGAGAGCACATCAAAACTTTTCTTTACTATAACCTAAAATTCTTGTTTTTGGTGTGAAGAACTAAGAGAGGAGTCCTGCAAAAGATCAGCTACAAGGAGTGCAAGGATGAAAGCAACTTGAATAAGGCATATTTCATCATTATTTCTTATACCTAAATGGTGGAATGATGTGTCATGTCAGTAAGTGTTTATCATTTTGATTATGCAATGAAAAAGCTCAATGTTGAATTTTAGTGATCAGAAGAAAGAAGATTTGTTTCATTAATAAACCAATATAACCATATAATCACATACTTATTAGCATTACCTAAACCAAACAAAAAAGAAATGGGTGTTGAAAAATACCTTAAGAACAGGGTTGCACATATAATGGCCAATGACCACTTATTTTCTTTCCAAAGCTTATAGAAAACATAGAAACTCTTATGAACAGGGTTGTGCATATAATGGCCATACGTCTTGGCTATTACCAAAACCACAAACAAATTTTCAGAAACTATTTACAGGAACTGGCTATTTCTTTAAGTGAGTATATACCACATTTGTCATACAGAAGCTTGGACCATTGATGAAAATGAGCATTGAAGTAATGAAATCATACAGAAATAGACAAACAGGATACTGTTGAGGTGGACAAAAGAACTAGAGGCTAAAGCTTCAGATACTAATTACTAGTAATACTTCACAGGGAGCAACATTTGTAGATATGCTATAACAATGCCATAAGAAACTCCCCTTTCCCAGCTCTAAAACCAAAAGGAAAAAAATCCTATACACTTCAAGAAAGCATTCACGAACCATCTTTGCGCAAACTGGACAAAATATTTTAAACTATCACCCGTTTCTTACCATTAAGTACTTCACCCCTCTTTCACATGATTAGAAACAAAAGTTGCAATAGCATGAACAGCAAGCTTTTCAGCTTCCTCTTGGGTGGACTCAATCAACTGCAAGTGCTTTTTGCCAATTTTGAAGGAGTGATCACCACCGTCTATCACATATAATTCATTTACACACTTCATTTTCTTTCTTACAGCTTCCAGCTTCTTGAGTGGACAAAGCCCATCTTTGCTGCCCTACATGAAAATAAGCCATAACATTTATACAAAATCTTGAGCATGAATTTAAGTTTACACTTGGCACCATCACCCCCTCCTAACTCCCAAGCCACAGAATTATGATATTATAGTAATGGCTGAGAAAACACGACTGAATGAGCTGTGAATAATATAATAAAGCTAGCTATACCTAGCAAATTTGCAATGAGTGCACAAAAACAGTCAAAAGAAATCATAATGAAATTTATTTATGTATTCATATATGTCGATTCAAATGTATATCTCAGCCCCACAGATACAAGTATGCATGTAGCCCATCTGTAAGCAATTCAGATTTAGCTAATGTGTGTCCATAAATACAAGTATTCTTGTACGTATTAATAAAAAATAATGCCCGTTTAACAAATAAGCCTCCATAAGATGGACCTTTATGTCCGTGTGATACGGATCCATCTACAGCAAAGTGCTTTTACCTGCACGAACATAACAGGTACATCAATTTGTAACAGCAACTCATCTCGTGTTGCACCATTTGCACCCTGAAAGATTTGCGACTAGACTTATAAAAGAGATTTTTCTTAAAATGACTGTATATATTCAGTAATAGATAAACTACTAAAATGGTAAAAACAATTTGTAGCCTCCAACGACCAAAAAATATATGCAAGTATTCAAAAACTTTATATCGCAATAGATATCAAGAAATATTAGAAAATAATTTCAAGTGCTAAAACTAGATAAATTAGCAACGAGGAAATTAAGAGCTTTTCTTCTT